AGCGATTGCGATTAACCGATGGAAGCCCCCTCTGTGCTAGCAAAAAGAACTTTATGTTAGTCTCCCTGCCCTGATGATATTGGTCCTTTTGCCCCTCCCTCCTTTATGTTTTGTCTGTTTTTAATGTATTTTGCTTTACTTTGTTGCTATGCTAAAGCCCTATATAAACATTGTATTTTCTGCAGTATGTCCATGTTGAGATGCAGCGAAATCGTCCTGGACATAAATCGTGCAGTATTGCCATATGGTCTTTTCTCTTGAAATTAATCTCGGGAAAGGCTTGTTTCAATATCTATCAAGTTTAATCAGGGCGAGTGGATAAAATGGAGACAGTGGGATAAAGGGGAGGGGGGCAAAGGTCAGCTCTGGAATTTTCGGTGACCTTTTTTCACGTGCAATTTGTCACGTCATGTTGCATCATTAGGACATGACTGAGGTCATGGTTCGGGTCATCATGTAGGTTTGGTTTGGCCCAAGGCAACTGGATTGCGGCAACCATCTTCTTCTGTTTGCACAGTAGTGGGTTCATGATTTTGATTGCTACAGCTTCCGCCGTTGCCGAGTGACGTTTCCGTCTCAAATAACCTCTGCTGAGGAAGCCCTACTTACTGCCTTATCGTGGTGGTATTTCCCACCAAGGTATGAGGACGAAAAGCCGAAATCAGGGGCTATGCTCGGGTTGGTGGACCACTGATAGTTCACCCAAGGGAGTTGACCAAAAATCCTGATTCCAAACAATTGTTAGAAGGCGTATGAACCACACACACAACTTCCTGGTTGTGACAGTGGTCACCGACTCATTTGGTCATCGAGATGAATTGGGCACCTTGGACTTTTGACGTATGAAGGGCGTATGATCCAATGAACTGAACACTGGCCCTAAATGGATTGCGGTTTTCGCACACCACCCTGCTGCCTTGCGGGTCAGGCTTTAGCTAGCCAAAGGTTCCGGTTGTGGATTCCTCAAGCAAATTTACCTGCCTTGGCCTGGGCAACCTGATAGTATTCCGCCTACATGCCAATCATGGAACGCTTTTCATAAAGATTGTTGTACCATGATTTGTTTGACAAGTAGTCTGGATTCAGACTTGTATATATATATATAGGGGATAACGATGAAAACCACCATGCAAACCAGTTTCCTTTTATCCCCGGGCTGGAATCTGACTTACTGCCGAGATAACCAATTGAGCTACGGGCAAGGTGATCTGAACAATGTCCCCAGGTAGAAATACATTTTTGCAATGCTTAGTCATCCTCTATTGTTTCACCTATGCTATAATGAATTCCTGTGCAACCACAGTTCTCTCTGGTCTGAAGGGTCGTTTCATTNTTTCATTCAGTGAACGCGTTTTAGTTTCTTTTGATTGGTTGATTTGACTGACTATTCTTCGGACTTCACCTTCACGCACAATCCTCAGTTCATCGATTCAACCATACACTCGGAAACACTGGACTTGAGTTTCGCTTTTGTTAGAGCTCATCAGTAGTGCATTTCCACCGTCAGTGGTAACGCACACGCCTTCCATGCGATATGTCCGGAGTTCAAATCCCGGGCGGGACGGTGGGTATGCACTACTGATAAGCTTTAATAAGAGCGAAATTCGAGTCTGGTGTTCCGGAATGTATGGTTGAATCGATGAACTTAGGATTGTGCGTGAAGTTGAAGTCCGAAGGATACTCAGTCAAATCAATCAATACAAGTTATCCCACGCCGCTACTAACAAGTAAGTGTGAATTAAATGCAAATTAGAATATCAGGCTTGGATTAGCCCATTGGATTATTCAGAACCACCAGGCACTCTTGTTGGTCTTGATGGTCATCGCATTCGAATACAACCTCTCGTGGGACATTAACGATCTCCCAAGGAGTGAAACCCACACCCAAGACCATCAAGAGTGCCTGATGCCTCTGAACAATTGAATGGGCTAATCCAAGCTTGACACTTTAAATTGATTGAGCCATTCGCACAAGGTGATGACCGTCAGCCGTGTAGCTCAAGGGTAAGGATTTGAAGTCTCGACCCGACTGATCGCGGTTCGAGTTCTGCTAGGGACACAAAACGTACGCACTGCTGGCGAGTCCCAAACAGGACGAAATAGCTGTCCAGTGCTCTTTGTTGGTTAGAACAAACATTTCCATTGCATTTAAGTGTAAATTAGTTTCTTATGTCCTAAAGTATGTTAATCGAATGAGTCAGTTTACTAGGATCGTACTTCTGGCGAACTGCTGCACAAGTCGTCTTCATCCTACAGGCTATACTGGTTTGTCACTGCTGTCCGGTCTCGTAACAGAAGGTATATTACAAAATGTCCTTGCTGGTCCTACAAATCTTGTTATGAAGTGCACAGCTAGACGCAATCTGATGCAATCTGATGACATGATCCGCCGTTCCAGTGTACGAGTGAATGCGCATAGCGTGAAATGTGATGAACTATGTACTCTGTGTGCATTCACTATAGTGATTCACAAATAAGGACCAAATAAGAACCGAATAAGGGCCCTTTTCTATGCATTCACACATTATTCCTCACTTTATATCGATTGTCAACTTGGCAGCGATCATCGAAATTCGTCTCATCGTATCTTTCAAACGATGATGATCATGGTGATGATGATGATTATAACGTCGGGATTAGGTTGCGAAATCACTGGACATTTGTGCGATTTCCGCATTCCGTGGTAATTTTTAGTCGGTTGGTTTTGTTCGGTTTATTGTCCTGTTGTCCATCTCAAGAAAATTCAAACATCGCATGTTACTGTGACTTTGGGTGTCTTACGCTAGTGAGAATAAGTAAACAGCTGAACATTATAAGGGAATCTAATAGGGTTATGAATGCTTACGTTCAATTTTTTCCAGTTCCACTGCATTCGATGGTGCGGACAGACCACAACTATTTTCTGCTCTCATGCGTACGGTGTAGTTACGAGTCTTGGGAAATTCGGTCAGTGTGGTCCAGTTGTACGGATAGGATTCGCGTTGGGTATATGTCTCGGAATCGGCTGTCTCTCCTTGGATCACATAGTTTCTCACATTTTTCTGCGATGGAGGATCTTTCCAGTAAATATTGTGCCCCTCGGCTGTAGGAGATG